AATTTTAAAATGAAGAAAGTCAGCTTCAAAGCTATTGTTTTTCCAACATTTTATCACTCGAACTCATGTAGAATAGACAGCCGCTGCATACTAATGGGCACAGATAAGAAGATAGTATTGATAAACTTTAAGCTAAAGATAGAAACATTAGAAGCCGAAACACTAAATTTATTACCCAATATTCAAAAATGCTTTCATTCTTAACAATAAGAAAAATGTGTAGGTTGATGTATCTCAAACAAATTACATATGCAAATTGTCAACAAGCTGTTGAGCTTTATTTTCTTCTAAAACCAGCTTCTAATATTTCCCCGCAGACATCCGTTGATCAACCCGAAGAAATTCGGTGCGTTCGGGAGCAACTGTCGGACTGTTTTGAGCAAATCTCCTGTTACCTGCTTCCTCATCCTGGATACCGAGTCGCTGAACGCCAATCTTTTAGAGGACATGTCAAAGGTCTTCCTACTTCTTCTGCCTCACCCGAGAGGTGATTGGCTCTTACTCGCTCATATTGCTTTGGCACATTGCTTTTCTTAGATTTGCGGCCGGTATTTCGCGAAGAGTTGAAGAAGATGGTGCCATCGTTACTAAATCCGCACGCTTTGCAGCCCAAGATTGTTAATGGCAAGCCTGTCACATGCAGAAAATTAATACAGTATTTTAAGGTAGGTTTTGTCTTTTACCTTGCTAAAAACAACTTGCAAAATCAATATTGCCCACACTGTACAGAAAAAAATATCAGTATATTTCTAAAAAAAACTGAAGTGTGATACTCTTGTATGACTAACTAAACGAGAACCGCGAACAGAGGCATTCCAGGAGTATGTGAACTCTTTTGACGGTAGTGCTATGCCAGAGGCGCACAGCATATTGAATGCCAATGCGAAGTTGATTTGTATCGAAGCCGCAAACGAAGCCAAAATCGCCTACTGTCGTGGAATGGACAGGGTGAGGAGAAAAGTCCTTAAAATGCGGCCTCTATCATTTTCAAATTTATTTTAGTCCACAACGGGATCACGAATGATGCCTGAGAAAAGGTTGTTGGAAGCACACATAAAGCATGGCATTACCGCATTGAACATCTTCGATAAGTGCCCGAAAATAGGAACTGCAGAGATTAGGAGCAGAGCTTTGGCAAAACTTCAAGAGGACATCAATGTAAGGACACCAAAATTCACTATTGTTAAAATTTACATCGAATTACATACTGAGAACCATGAAACATAAATCTATTATGAGAGCATAAAAATATCGTATACCTATTTCATAAGATCTCCCATCTTGAAACCTAGGCATGATGATGAACTGATCTTGATGTTACTATGCCGT